TTCTTTGGGAGCTGTTAAAATCAGGGTTAAATAAATGATCTATGGTGGAAAAGAGGACCTTGGGATTATTTTTGTTATTATTGATTATTTTGGCGAAGTATGAATTTCTTGAATTCCTTAATGTATTATTGTACATTTTGAGTTGCTCGCAAAATATTTGATGGTTGATAGTATTTTTATTTTTCCTCCATCTCCTTTCTGCTGCCCTGCAATTTCTTTTGAGTTTTTTGACTTCTTCGTTTCTCCAGGGTTTTACTCTGTTGAGGGAGGCCCACCACAGGTTGATCAATCCTGGGCATGTGTATCGCAGTTAGTTGACTGCCTTAGCTGCCCAAGTGATGTCAGCCCTTTTTAGCCATAGCCAGTAATTGGTCTTCTCAGCAGTGTTAGCCAATTCTCTTATAGCCTGCCATTGTGCCTGTCCTCTGATCCCAATCTTTCTGAGCAGTTTTGCTGTTGTACTGGCAACAAATCCGCCGCACTTCCACCAGGCGCACCTTGATCTTCCAGCCTCTATCCTCTGCCTCAGCTGCCAAGTTGGCATACTGCAGCTTTTTACGCTCAAATACTTCCTCAATTACTTCCTCCCATGGTACAGTCAGCTCAATAAAGTACACAAGTTCTTGGGAGTTAGACCAAAGGACAAGGTCTGGTTGCAGAGTAGTTGTTACGATCTCTGTGGGAAAAATTAGCCTCTGATCCAAGTCCACTTGCATCTGCCAATCCCTGGCAACCTTCAGCGGGCCCAGGTCTGGGTTTGACGGGCTTGTCCTCAGCTTGTCTCCTTCCTGGACAAATGCTGATAAAAACGAACACTCCTCTTGGTTCGTGGAAGGTTGAGCGTTGATGGATTTTCATTTGCGCTCAACTTTCTCAGCTAGACACCTGAAACCTGGTTGTGTCTCCATGTGTATCTGCCCTGAGTAAGGCTCGTCCTACAACCAACCAAGATGTGCTTGAGTGTGGCTGGGACTGTACACAAGGGGCAGGATGGGTCCTTTCTAAACCACAGCTGCAGATTTATTGGGGAAAGCAGCACATCGCATGTCGCTCGGATGATTAAACTTAGTCTGTTAGACTCCATGCCCCAGATAGGCTAGGGATAGGCAATGCCAGTATCCCGTCGCTATAGAGTGCAACGCTGCTGAGGCATTTGGGAAGTCCGAGCCACTTCTTAATGTAGGAGCTCACTAGCCTCTCTAGTCGATTGGAATGATTGAGCAAGACCTTGTACATTGTCAACGGCCACAGTAGTCTGGGTAATAACCCGAACTGGAAGTACCAGAGCTTCAGTTTCCCTGGGAGTGCAGTGTTGTTAATCCGCTTGAGGTCATTAGCCAAGTTCTGCCTTAGTTGTTCTACTTGTTCTGCATTGTACCACCATCCCAGGCTCTTTATGGGCTTCTGTAATACTGTTGGAATTGGTTCTCCACTGATATGAAATTGCTCGGCTGTCAGTTTTCCTTTTACAATGGAGATACTTTTAAATACTCTAGGAACAACAAGTAGGCCTGCAGAGCGAGAGTGAAGTGCTCTAATAGGGTGATATGGTACTACAAGATCATTAAGATAAGATGGGGCCTGATTATTTAAGACCTTGTATGTGAGGAGCAGGATTTTGAATTCAATTCTGGATTTAACATGAAGCCAATGAAGGGAAGACAAAACAGGAGAAATATGGGGTATAAATATAGTACTACAGTTGCCTGCTAGTACTAGGCAACTGTACTAGCAGTTGCCTAGTACTAGCAGAGGTAGAGGACCCGAGCTCGCCCGCAGGGATGAGAGGGCTTTTTTTTTTATTTTTATAAATGTATGTATGTATCTATAAAATGAAAGTGATGTTAAAGTTATTGTGTCATTCATAAATACTATTGCAGTCATGAAGTGCACCATGTTAAATAACCTGGCCACGTTGGGTAAAACCACTCTGACAGTACACAACACTGCATACATTGTTCACGAGGGAGAGAACAGCGAGCATAAAAAGCCCGTGACCTGGCTGTTCTAGTGGCAGCGACTCATTAAGAAAGTGTATCTATTACTGCCTCCTGATGGTCGCTGTCAATAAGTACAATTTTTCATATACCGACAAGAATCATTTTCACACCGATCCTGAGGTTTAATTTTTATCAGTCTGATCATGAGAACAATGATAATAATAAGCTGTTAAACACTGTTGTCAGCAGTAACCCTCATTTAATAATAATACACCAACACTCATTTAGAAAAAATGTCAAATGTGAGACATCAGCTGTATTTAGTAAAATATCTATCGGATAAACAGAACGTTTTTTTTATCATTTAATTTCTGTTTATGTTGGATGAGAAGCTCGGGTGACTGGGAGAACTAAGAAACACCCGGTACAAGTGCGGAGTCCACTGATTATATGCAAAATTTTGTTTTTACTGGATCTTTATTCAAATTTACGCATTACAGAAACGCTTTATTTTATTTTTATTATTTTATTGCCATCCAGTGGTCACTCTCAGGAACTACAACTCCATGCATACAGCACTGACAAGGACGATATTCACATTGGCATTCAGTGCTAACGTTCATCACTGATAATAAGAAAGTATTTAGTATTAAATGTCATGCAAATGACTAATATGAGCAGTGACCAACAGGAGTCTTGGTCCAGTCTTGATTCGCATCCTGAAACTTAATAGGCAGATTTAGCCAAGCAAGTTCTTTGATACATTTTATTCAACACATTCAAAACCACCAGCAGATATCTACTATTTTACTTCCTTACAAAACCAGTGCTCCATTTAATTTTTAGATATACCTCAGTATCTGTAACCATGCATGAATCACATCATATTTAAAAACACTGTGTACTGTGTTGAGACGTCATGGGTCTAGAGGTATTGCAAAATACAGTAAAAGAACATCATTCCATGATTCAGTTACTGGACAAATCACAACAATCATCAGTGTGACTCATGGTATGTGTCCACAGAAGCTTTTCTTTTTGCGCTTCATAGTCATTGCCTATGTAGCCACGCAACTTCAGCAGCATTACATTGGTTTTGAGATATAGGGTAGTTACTTGAGTTGCAATGTTCATAATTGCATGGAGTTTATTTCTGGCATGTTTTCAGTGCTTTTGTAAACACTCAAAAACACACTTTTTCTGAATGAAATTATCTTAAAATAGATTCAGTGTATCTACAAGAAAGTGGCATTGTTTTAAGTTTAGTCCATCAAGTCGCCAATACTGTACAAAAACAGCTTGTGGACAGTTACAACAATCACAGCCAGCAGAAAACAGACTACCTCATGGTGTTCATGCTCAGATCAAAGTGTTAAATCTTCTGGGTTTAAAGACTGTGGGTGAGTAATTTTATCAACTAGGGAAACTTTGCAGAGACTCCCAGTTCTGATCTAACAAATGAATGTCTTATTCTAATGAGATCCCAGAGACTACAAGACAAAACTGAAGGAATAAGACACAAAAATGTTGAGGTGTTTTATAACTAAAATAACTATCTGGTCTGCAGTGGGCTGGATTTAGGTAAAAATGTGACAGTAAGACTAACCTAAAGTCCATTCAGCTGGTATGGTGATTGACAGTTGAACAGATGTCGTGATAGATTAGCAAGTTTTCCAGGGTGTATCCTGCTTTGATAACCTCTCAGTTATTAGATTATAATTCATTAACTGACACACATTCATACAGTACTTTATCTATGACACCTGAGCAACCATGAGGCCCTGTACCTCCATATCCACAGCCAGCTAAATAAACGGAAGAACTGAGAACTAAATACTTCCACTTGTAGAAGTTTAAGGTAGTGAGTACTTGACAGTGGCTGCTCTCTGATATCACAGTTTATCTCATCTGCTGCAAACTTACCTGCCACCAACATGAACTGAATCACCTGAGATGAACTGAGCTTCAGGGACTAATTATACTAAACTGAACACAGAGATGCTGAAGAACCAAAAGGACAAATGAAGTTTGTTGGAGTCCTGAATAAAAACCCAAACCCAGGATAAAGAGGTTCAGTGAATGGGGTGTTGAAGGTGTGGAGGTGGATCAGAGGAGACTCTGTAGAAGGACAGAGTGCCAGCGGGCCAGTCCAGATATACTGCTACAAATGGAGCTCCTGTATACCCATCCATCCATTCGCTTCCGCTTATCCTTTTCAGAGTCGCTGGAGCCTATCCCAGCTGTCATGGGGCGAGAGGCGGGGTACACCCTGGACAGGTCGCCAGTCTGTCGCAGGGCCAACACACAGGGACAGACAACCATTCACACTCACATTCACACCTAGTGGTAATTTGGATTATCCAATTAACCTATCCCCACAAGTTGCATGTCTTTGGACGGTGGGAGGAAGCCGGAGTACCCGGAAGGAACCCACGCAAACACGGGGAGAACATGCAAACTCCACATCCTCCTGATGGTGGAATTGAACTCAGGACCTTCTTGCTGTGCGGCAACAGTGCTAACCACCGTGCCACCATGCTGCCTCCTGTATACCCTTTATATTTATTTATCTGAGGCCAGAGAACCACCCTTTTATATACCCTTTTATATTTATTTAGCTATGCTCCTCTTCTGGGGTGGCTGTAGCTCAGGTGGCAGAGCAGGTCAGCCACTAATCAGAAGGTCGGTGGTTTGATCCCAGGCTGCATCCTGGCTGCATGCCAAATATCCTTGGGCAAGATACTAACCCCGTGTTTGCCTACTGGTGGTGGTCAGAGGGCCCGGTGGCGCCTGTGTCCGGCAGCATCGCCTCTGTCAGTGTGCCCCAGGGCAGCTGTGGCTACAATGTAGCTTGCCATCGCCAGTGTGTGAATGTGTGTGTGAATGGGTGAATGACTGAATGTAGTGTAAAGCGTCTTGGGGTCCTATGGACTAGAAAAGCACTATACAAATGCAGGCCATTTACCATTTTCTGAATATTTCAATATTCATATATTGAAAATATACATATATTCATATATGAATATTTCTCGGAATAGTTCATCTCTGTTCAACAGCTTGTCTGGAAGTGCTAACATTTGCTGCTCATTCAATGCATAATCAAATCTGACCTGGAACATGCTCAGGGTACAAACATCTGTAGCAACATACACTAAGTTCTGAAATATTGTAATTGTGGTACTACTTTAGCAAAAAGCAAATTAAAAAATTCAAAGGCTAAAACGAATGGTACTGAGGGTAATGAACTCTATTGTAAAAAAAAAAAAGGGTCAAATTTTACCCAGACAGTATGGGACAGTATAGAAAGGTTTCTTTAACCCTCTCAAGGCAGGCGTTGCAGATTTGCAACAGTTAAAAGCTAACAACCTGATTACCCCACATACATATTTTATGAGGTTTTTTTTACTCAGAAGTACCACTGCAGGTATTCTTTTGTGCATTAGCAACAAAAACTTAATTTGAGCCTGAGAGGGTTCAAGTTGAAGACCATAAAATGATGTTTGCTATTTGATTACACTTATAACTTATTCATTCATCAAAAGACATGGTGACATTAAAGTTTGGACGGTACAGAGAGAAATAATGAGACAAGACGCTATTTACACTAAACTGAACACAGAGAAGCTGAAGAATCAAGAGAGATCGAAAACCCTGATGTTGTTCTGAACACAAACCCAAACCCAGGATAAAGAGGTTCAGTGAATGTGGTGTTGAAGGTGTGGAGGTGGATCAGAGTGTCAGAGGAGACTCTGTAGAAGGACAGAGTGCCAGCAGGACAGTCCACATACACTGCTACTCTGCCAGACCAACAATAGGAAGAGCAGATGAACATTTCTCTATTGTTGTGCCAAGCAAAGCAACCTCGTTTAGAGAAGCTGAGACACCAGGACTGATCGTTAAATCCAAATTCAATGTCATTTCTTTCATCTCTGTGCCCTTTTCTTGGGATTCTTTCATAACTCACTGATATGTGAACCTGTCCATTTTTCTCGACCTCCCAGTAACAGCGACCAGTCAGACCTTCTCTACACAGCACCTGGGGGCACCAGTCATCAAATCTGTCTGGATGATCAGGATATGGCTGCTCCTCCTTAACATATGTCACCTTCCTGTTGTTGTCAGACAGCTTAAGATTCTTGTGTACTGTGTTTGTGTTGATTGTGAGTTGACAGGAATCTGATGGAGAGAACAAACACAATCCAGCTGCAGTTATTGATCCATCATCTGTTCATTGATTGACACTTTGATGATGACTCCTGACATCAGAGATGTGACTGAGTGATGTGACAGTTTGAATATGGTTGAATGTGTGCTGCTTTGTGTTCATGAATCACATTAAAAACACACTTACACTTCCTCAGACCTGGTGTCAACCATTGGTCTCCTGAAGGCTCCACCCTGAGAGAAGGAGGGGGTTACATCCTGCACATTACATCGCTCTTTTACACACAAGGACAGACACACACATCTGTCTAAACTAAACAATGACAAAGATGTTCCTGCAGCTGCTACACACAAATATATCCAATTTATGTTCACTGCCTCTTGTAAGAGGAAAAATGCTCCTAACATCAGTGATTAACAGATCAGTCAAAATTTCGCAATAGTCCAATAAACAGATCAACAGTGAGAAATATTTTCAATCACTCCTCCCTCTATTAGAAATTGTCTGTGGGTGTAGCAGTCCTCTCCATACCTGAGAGTGTCCAGACTCCAGTCTGGATTCTCCAGTCCAGAAGACAAGAGCTTCACTGCTGACTCTCCCAGATGATTGTAGCTCAGGTCGAGTTCTCTCAGATGGGAGGGGTTGGACGTTAGAGCTGAGGCCAGAGAATCAGAGCCTTCTTTTGCGATCAGACAGCCTGATAGACTACAGACACACACAACATATATGAAGGAAACTCTCAGGGAATTGCTGTGTGCTGTGAAATAATATGACATATTAAAATAAGAAGAGCAATAACTGAAACAGGGAGCTAGCAGCTATCATGTCATAGTATTCTAAATATCAGTATATATATCAGTCTATATCTGTCATTTGTGTGTTCATCTTTAAAGCCATTTCTTGTGCTGTGTTTTCAGATTTGATTCCACCTATTCAAATCTGTCATTGAGTTGGTTCTTATTAAGCATTTGAAGAGACGAGGTCCCCCCGCTTACACCAATTACATGTGAGAGAGGGTAAAAGGACTCAACATCCAGCCTTGTATGTTTAAAATGATACAGAATGCTATGAATAAATTATCTTAATCCGTGGTGCTAGTTTCAGTTGTTATGCAAATGTACTGTTCATAAGGTTGGGGAAACCTTCAATCAGCTGAGACTAAAGAAGTCACTTGGGTGAGTGATGAAATGTTTCTCCCACTGAAAACACTAGGTCTTCATCTTAATCAAAAATATAACCGAAGTCTAATAATATGATTAATGAGAAATACAGTTTATAATGTCTGCTCCAATGTCTGGATTTTGTGTGTAGACATGATCCAGCTTCTGCCTTGTGAAAAGAAAAAAATGTGTCTCCAGCTCATCTTTATATATGATTCTGAATGAAAAAAAAAGGTATTAAGTATGTTGTGATTGTTAAACACAGAACCATAATTCATATGTGAGTTTGTTGACAGTTGATCATACTTAACTGCTTAATTGCTTCTCACTGAGAGTGTGTGTGAGTTGGACTTGGAGGCTGTGTGTGTGTGTGTGTGTGTGTGTGTGTGTGTGTGTGTGTGTGTGTGAGAGAGACATTGAGAAGCTGGGAATATAAAAAAATCTCTGACTATAACATATGTATGAGCTAATAAAATAAACTCTAGTAAGTATATTTACTATTACTATAGTTATCTATATAGTATAATTGACAAGCACAGAGTTTTGAAGAGAAATAGTAAGAAAAAATGATTCCTATGTATTTGAATTTAAAAAAGAATTATGTTAAAACTGATTTTCATATGAGGATGAGTTGATGATAAATTTAACTCAAGTATCAGAAGAAATCAGCATTCGTTCAGAGTAGGTTAATTAACTTAGTATAACTCAGGTTAGGGCTGGGCCATATTATACTGTTCACGGTAATACCGGTATAATGTTAGGCAACGATAGGAAAATGAAATATCGCGATAGAATGGAGTAAAACGCGCATGCTCAGTGCCTTTGTTTTCATACGCACATGGCCGATTGTTGAGTGAAACAGATGAACCAGAATTGGTTTGTAAAAATGGTG